GAAGAAGAATCTTCAGATGTGTAGATGAAATAACTTTTGGAGAAAGATTGTGTAAAAAATGAAAATATTTTTGATAGCTTTATTAATAATAAAACATGCTTATTCTAATAAAAAAATCTGTTTGTTTTTTTTTTCCATTTTTTAATAAAATTTTAATAAAAGCTCAAAGATTCCTCATTGAAAAGAGAAAATATTTATTTTTCTGCTGCAAATATTTCTATTTAAACATTTTTAAAAGAAGAATTTAATCTATTCTTTTAATATTTATATTCTTGGAATATGTGTCTTTTTTAATATTAATAAACACAATAAGAAAAGCTATTTTCACAGTTTTGTCATGGACGAGAGATGAAAATGCAAGAAGCTTATTTCAAAAGTAAACTTTAAAAAAAAAGGTATGGCAGGCAACTATTCAATAGAAATTGAATGAAGTGTCTTTTATATGGCCTTTAAAAGAATCACAAGCCTCTTAAAAAATTTTGAATGTTTGAAACTTTCCTTGAAAAAGAATATCTCTTTTAAATTTTAATTTATATTTCCTCTTTGCTTAGTACTTTAAGATGCATTTTTTTTTCAAAAATCAATTATTCATAGAATGGTATTGAATTGAATCTTAGTCATTAGATTTTGGACGAAGAATATGAGGGTTTATTGTTCACTAAAGGAGTGATAGATTGTTTGTGTAAGTTGAAAATTCAATGATGAATACTGAAAGTGAGTCCAAATGCATAGAAGATTTTGGGAAAGAAAAGAAGGACAGATATTGATTCAGTAATTTTTGACACATGTTATCAATGCATTTTCTATTTAAAAGAAACAAAAATCTAAGAAAATGTTTTCCAAACACTTATCCTTATCAACAGGGCATATGCAGAAAACAATAATCAAGTATATACAAATGACCAATTTTATAAGGCAAATCAATGTTTTCACAATCAAAATGACATAACATGTTATACAATCTTTGCAATATATTAATATGATTGATATATTTGTGAATTTTGTTCTTATACAATAACTTGTATAGAAGTATGAAAGTTTTATTATGCAAACTAAATTCAATATAAATATTTACAAAAGTAAACGTATATTTGAAAAACACAATATCTCTTATACAAGTAATCATTTTTATTTTATTATAAATATTAATCAAGGTTCCTTTATATTTGTGATTTTTAAAATTTTTCTATTGTTTTGATTTCAAAATTATTTGCATTTGTCAGGTTTTATTTGATCTCAGAGCTTTTGGTCTTGACTACTGTGCTGTAAATCTTTTAATAAAATATCTTTTTAATAATATATCCAGTTTAATAATATATATCTTTTGATAAGTCAATTAATTTAATTTAGTTTTAATTTAATTACCTCAATTTATTAATAATATTTCATTTTAATAATATACCTTAATTTTTCAACTAGATTAGTACCTGAAGAGCCTATGCACCTATTCATTAATTTCATGTCTTTTGTCAAGGTGATCATTATTCATTCACACACACACACACACACACACACACACACACACACACACACACAATATATATATATACATACATATATATATATATATATATATATATATATATATATATATATAATTATTGTACATTCTTCTTAAAATCAGATCTTCTCCTGATTCATGCACTACATGGCCAAATGATAAAATGAAGCTGCTCCAAACACCCAAAACTGAACTGAGATTCTATCATCTGGGCTCATACGTTTTTGTTTTTACTCAAAGAATGAATAAGCAATACAATCCAGAATTTCCACCCAATAGCACCTTTTCCAAAAAAAAAAAAACAAAATGCAGTTGATTTGAGCCTAAGAAAGGATATCAAAAAAGCCTATCAAAGGAAATTTTCAACATGTTGGATGGCATCTAAAAATGGTTCAAGATTTTTGAAAAGTGACCTCCCATCTCCAAGAGACAACTCACCAAATGCTGTCACCCCAGTCAGTCATAAATACATGCTGATGCCTTTTACAAATCCAATTATCTCATTTTTTTTCAACAAAGAGACATTTAAACGGATTTATCATTTGTGGTATTTACATTAATACAATTGTTTATTTCTTTAAACCTTTATTTGTTTCTTTTTATTGTTCTGTCACCATATGCTTAATATAACAACTAGTATCATAAGCATGGCTGGAACAAGAAAATAAACTTGAAATCCACAAGTAAAAAAAAAAACCAAATGCAGGAAATGATGAAATGCTCAACTATTGCCTTCATTGGGATTGCATACACATCCCAGACCTCAATAGACTATGAACTACATTCAACTACATAGATTTTACCTGATGCTACAAAATGTAAAGTAATACCATCCAGGTAATGATGTCAATTGGTTCATAACTGTTTATAAAAGACATATGCAATCCATGTAAAAACCAAAACTCATACATTATCCAAGGATGGAAACTGAATTTATTAAAATCTCTAACAACTTCTCAATGAGGGCATATTTCAACAAATGGAGGATTTGCAACAAACCACATACTTGTACAAGAAGTTGAGGACCTACCTATTAGAACCCACAGAAGTTAAATGACAAACTTTCAGCACCTCAGCTGAGCATGAGACCTGAAATGTGACAGTGATAACATCACCAATTTTGCAGGCTGTCATCAGCAGTTAATATAAAGGTGAAGTTTCATATTGAAAACAGCAACACTGAAATCAGTGCCATCATCATTTTTTTTCTCCCATGGGTGCAATGCTAAAAAAAAAAGTAAAAAAATTAAGACTTGGAGCTCTGGACATAAAAGATAAAAAAAAGACTATGAACAGCCACTATTTTGGATGACATAGCAAGTGACGCCCAACAAAACCTTGAGTACGGCATAAAAACAGATGCTATTCCAAATGTATGTGCAAAACAGCCACCATATAAACCAGCAAATTAGTTATTCATACTGCATCACAATTTAGAATTTCAAATACAACAAATATACCATCAGATAAATCATGTAGTAATGCATGTGTAAAACACCACTATGAGGCTGGAGAACAATGGCATATCCCCAAGATTTTTTTTTTTTGCATATCTGAAAAAATCCAATAACAGAAAAACCCCTTTCTGCAGAAACTACATGAGGGTGGTCACACATCTTTCAAAGGGCCAAAATAGCCCAATTTTACACACCTTTAGCTCAAGCAGTCATTGCAACTGTATCCACAAACACATCTACAATGACCACAGAACCTGAAGCAATAGACTTAAACCAATTTCAAGAATTACCAATTTGGCCTGATTGGATAACATAGTAATGGTTCAATTTTCACGATTACCTCTTCAATTTCTTGTATGCGTTATTTCGACAATCTCCTTTCGGAAAAATATTCTGTTAACTGGCAACTTTAAGAATCTGTCTATATTTTAGATGAGGTATTATGTACAGTATTTACATTAGTCGGACTATTGTCCTCATCTTTGTCGCCATATTTGTCACAACGTTTCGGCCGTTGTACGCTCCGGCCTTCTTCAGGTGGTTGGAATTTCGAACTGAACCCTTTATTTCGATCACTGGGGTAGACTGTTCTAGTTTCACGTGCCATGTTTGATGGATGTCAGTTATCAGTTATCTCCTGCTAATTTTCCCTCTGAAAGTTCTCCACTGCCTTAACCAGGAATTGAACTCACCTTCTTTGGGTCTGTCACTGGATCTAACCAACGCCTTTATCCACTGTGCCATGTGTCCTTGATACATTAAACAAATACAGAGGTAAGGACAAAATAAAAAAAAACGAACATAATAAGACCCCCTCATAACAGATTACCTCAATTTCCAAAATGAAACTGTTCCATATTAATCGCCTTAAAGAACTTTTTACGCCTTCCATCATAAATACTAAAAGGAGAGTGACTTGTTGCATATGTTAATGTTTCCTGTTGATATGAAGTGGAAAGATTGTATGAATCAATTGCTAGATCTCCTGCTTGGAAAGGTTGTTCATGGTATTGCCTGAATTTATCTCACATATCTACCATTCATCCATGCTTTGAATAATGCAGCCATATTTGGTGCTCCTGCTATATATTTACAGATCCTTGACAAAATCCAAAGAATCTGCAATGTTATTGATCCTGACCTGGCATCTTGGCTTCGGTCACTTTCCCACCGCTGTAATGTAGCTTCCCTGTACCTTTTCTATAAATAATTTCATGGTAATTGTTCTGATGAACTTTCCTCTATGGTACCTAGATTTCATTTAATTCATTTAAGCACAATACTAAATTGGCAATGGTCTCGTCATTTTACAGTTGAAATGGCTAGATGGAACCATAAATTCTATGCTACCTGTTTTCTATTTGGAGTTTTCTTTAAATATTTTGTACATATTTTTTTTTTTTTTTTCTATTTAATTTTAGTGATTCACTTCTTACTAATCTTGTCCATATCTAGGGGAGGAGAAGAAATGGTTTCATACCTTTTTAAAGGGTCTGACATGCTAAGAAAAATATAATGAACTCCAACTGAATTTGAAAATGAAAAGAAATAAGATGAAAGATATTTTTTGTAAAAAAATCTAATAATTTAAACGCTTCATCTAAAAAACATTCAGCCAACTTATGACGATTACTACTTGGTGTAAAAGCAAGAGAAATAAGATGAAAGGAAAAATTTGCTCATAAATATTTTTCTTAATACTAAATGACAATGCTACACATAATATAACATAATAATAATATATGCCCAATCTCTTTTTTTTTTATAAGTAAAAAAAAAAAGAAAGAATGAAATATGTTGCATTAAACGAAAAATTGAACAATCAGTTCAGTTTTAATATTTACATTTATTTGATACTAAATGTTTTTTGACCAAGAATGCCTGAAGATCTACTTTTTATTTTATTTTTATAGACTTAACACCTTAAACATTGAGTTAAAGACTTAGAATCATCAAAAACAAAAAATATTATGTCTATTGTATAAATGTCAGTGTGCCATGAAGCTAATGTGTTCTATAAAACTGCACCTTTTCACAGCAAAATGGCTGCCCCCTCTGCAGAGCAGATGGAAAATGCCATGCATGAGGAAAAATGTCTGTCAGGAATGCATATAAACTGCAGACAGGCAAAGCTTCATCCATGTCTATCTGCATTTTCAGCGAGGGGTTAATCAGTGCAGTTGCATAAACATCTGCTAAGATTTCAGTGTTTCTAATTTTGTAAATTAGGGGCCAGTCAGTAACTGAAAGGGAGACAAATGACGATGAGGAAATGGCACTTCTTTTGCCACTCATCAGCCGATCTTGGCATCCAACATTAATGCTTTGAAATAACAAAAATTTTGTTTGTTTTGTCTTTTAAAGACTTTTCTTCACTCATGGTTTCCAGTATTTTTTTTTTGTTATTTCTTCTCCTGAGCTTTCTCTCATGCCTTACTTCTACCTTTTTATTCTTTTTCTCTTTGTCAATTTTTCTTTTATTCTTTTCTTTCTTATTTTCTTTTCTCTTTTTTTTTTTTAATTTTTTCATCCTCCTTTCTTTTTTTTTATTCTTAAAATTATCTCTCGTCCTTTTATTCTTTCCTCTGCCACTCTCTCTTTTCCTTTTATTCTTTCCTCTGCCACTCTCTCTTTTCCTTTTATTCTTAATAACGTTTCTGCCAAACTCTCTCTTTTCCTTTTATTCTTTCCTCTGCCACTCTCTCTCTCTTTTCTGTTTATTCTTTCCCTCCATACTATCTCTTTCTTTTATTTTTTCATCCCCTAAAATTTCTTTTTTATTTATTTTCCTCCTCCTCATGTTCTTTTTTACTTTTCCTTGCCTAAAAAACTTTTCGTTTTTATTCTTTCCTCTGCCATTCTATTTTCTTAAAAATTCCTCTGCGATCTTTGAAATTTTTTTTATTCTTTCCTCTGCAATATTCTTTCTTTTCTGTTTATTCTTTCCTCCTCCTATCTCTCTTTCCTTTATTCTTTCATCTTCCTCCTCTCTTTCTTTTATTCTTTCATCTACATGGACAGAATTTTAGTTTTTATTCTTTCCTCCTAAAGGATGGAATTTTTTATTCTTTCCCAAGACGGAATCTTCATTTATTTTATTTTTCCTCTGCCTATCTCATAGTCTTTTTTATTCTTTCCTCTGACACTCTCTCTCTTCCTTTTATTCTTTCCTCTGACACTCTCTTCCTTTTATTCTTTCCTCCTCCTTTCTCTCTTTCTGTTATTCTTTCCTCCTTCTCTCTCTTTCTTCCTGATATTCTTTCTCTCCCCCTTTTATTCTTTCTTCTTTCTCTCTCACTTTTATTTTTATTTTTCCTCCTCTCTTTTTCCATTTATTCTTTCCTCCTCTTCCCTCTCTTCCTTTTATTCTTTCTTCCTTCTTTCTCTTTTTTCCATTTATTCTTCCCTCATTTTGTCTTCTTTTTTTTTTTTTTTTTCCTCCTCCTTTCTCACTTTTTTTTTTCTTTTAAATTTCCTCTTCTTTACAAATTGTATTCTTCCTTCTTTTCTCTTTGCTTTTCATTCTTTCCACTTTCTCTCTCTTTTCCATTTATTCTTTTCTCCTCCTCCTCATTCTTTTTCTTTCATCAAAGTCTTTTTCCTTCCTTTGTCTCGCATTTCCTTTTACTCTTTCCTCATTCTTTACTCTACTCTTTTGATTAATTCCTCCAGACTTTTCTTTCATTTATCTCCTTTCTTTTTCCTTTCATTCTCATTTTTCTCTACTTTTCACTTTTATTCTTTCTTTTTTCTTCCATTAACAGTTTCTCCATCATTTACTTTGCTTCTTTTCATTTACCTTTTTTCTTTATTTTCTTTATTATTGCTGAAATTATTTTTTTACCTTTCATTTAATGGCTATCTTTTTTTTAATCTTTTTCAGTCATTAATCAACTCCATTTTTATTTTATATTATGCATTCTTAATATTCTAAAAACTTTCTTTCAAAAATATTTTCCTTTCTCAATTTTTTCATTTTTTGTTTAATTTTTTTCCACCTCTTTAACTATTCTCTATCTCTATGCATTTTTGCCTGATTTAAAAATACAAATATTTTCCTCAGAAAAAAAAACTATCATTTTTTTTTCATTTTCAGCAGTTTTAATTATTGGCCCCATTTTATGTATGACTTTCTTTCAAATTATTGAAAATATATATATATATATATATATATATATATATATATATATAGAACTATTTATCAAATTCAAAATGCAATTCAAAATATTTTTTTTACATTCTTCCCCCTCCTACTTTAATTTTTTGTTAGGTTCAATCTTTTTTCACAAAAGTTTTCAATTTTTTTTTCATCTTTCTATATTTTTGCCATTATTTTGAAATTTTTCTTAATTCTCTATAGGAAAAATCTTTCTTTCTTTCTCTCCCCATCCTTTCTTAGATTAAATTTCAAATTTCCCTAAATTTTTTTAAAGGATTTCATAGCTCCTTCCATTTTTTTTTTTCTCCCTCCCAAATTTTTCTTTCTTCCATTCCTCCCTCAAAAATTTTCATTTTTTTCTTTCTTTTTTTTCCATTCCTCATTCCCTTATTTTTTTTTTTTCAAAATGGTTCCTTTTCTTTTTATCTTTTTTTTCCCTTTTTCATCCATTGGAAAAAAAATTCTTTTTCTTTTTTTCCATTCAAAAAATTTTCCTCCCTTCCATTTTTCTTTTCTTCCATTTCCTCCTCAAATTTTTTTCAATAATTTTTTTTTTCCTCCCACTTTTTTTTCTTCCATTCGATCCTTCCACTTTTTTTCCTTCTTTTCATTCTTTTAAAATTTTTTTTTTAAACAGTTTTCAATTTATTGTTTTTCCTTTAAAATTCCCAATTTTTTCTTTTAATTTTCATTCCTAAAAGAAATTCCAGTTTTTCCTTGTTTTTATTTGTTTAAATTGTCCCTTGCATTTTTTTTTTAAAATTTTATTCCCCTTTTTTTTTTTTTTCTTTTAAAATTTCTTTCCTCCTATTTTTTTTTTTTTAGAAAAAATCCAATTTATTTTTTATTTTTTTCAAAAAACTTCCATTTTACTTCCTCCCGAATTTTTTTTTTTAAAATTTTCATTCAAATTTTCCACTATTTTTTCCTTTATTTTCATTCCTCCCATATTTTTTTATTTTCTTTATTTCCATTCCTCCATCTTTTTCTTTTTTCTTTTGCCTTTTTTTTTTCTATTTCCTGTTTTTTGAAAAATTTCAAACATCTTTTTTAAATGAACAAAACAAAAATTTCCTCCAGATTTTTTTTTCTAATTCCCTTTAATATTTCCGAATTTCCCAAAATTTCTTTTTTCTTTTCATTTTTTCCCTTTTTTTTATTTTGTCATTCCCTCCCTAAACTTTTTTTCTTTTTTCCATCCCTCCACTCCCACTGAATTTTGGCATTTCTTTTAAAAATATTTTTTTTTTTTTTTCCTCATTTCTTTGAAATTTTTTTATTTTTTTGGTTTCCCTTTTCTTTTTCTTTTTTTCATTCATTCCCCCTCCCATTTTTTTTTGAATTTTTCAATTTCCCTCTGATTTTTTTTTTTCCTTTATTCCTTTTTCTTTCACCATCACAAATTTTATTCCTTTTTTCCAACTCTCTCTCTCTTTTTTTTTACAATTTTCTCCCAAAAAATTATTTCACGTTAGGAATGACATCAGTTAATAAAAAACAGCAACAAAAAAACATGTTTTTTTTTAATAATGATTCCATTTTAGCAACATGTCTAATTACACATCCTTCTTTGCAAACGTTATTCATCTACCGCCATTCAGTTCTTTGCCAATTTCGAATTTGTCATGATCATAATTTTGGGCAAATGTCCCATTGAATTTAAATTTATAAAGGAAAGCTATTTGGATATTTTCTTTTATGCATCTGATGTTTGCTGAAATTACATTTTGCCATTTCCCTAAGTCAAGAATCTTTTTCAAATTGATTAAAACAATGATTTTTTCAATTTATAAAATATTATATATTTATATATATATATATATATATATATTTTTGTTTGTTTGTCACTTTTCTTTTAAGATTTTATAAGCTTTTTTCCATTTTCTTGCAAAAATTTTCAATTTCTTTTATTTCTGCAATTTATTGGTGATGAACTGATTGAAACCTTTTTCTATTTTTTATATATATCAAAAATATTGTTAACCTTTTACCTTATCACTGTTTTCTCCAAATGATGATAATTAATCCTTTCATCTTATCGTCCGGAATACCTCTCAAGCAAAAATTAACAGGATTTCTCTTTATGAAATTTCTTTAATAGGATTGAGTTTCCTTTTTCTCTCTGTCTTTCAAATCTATTTTTAATATTATCTCAACCTAGAAACTTTGAAATTTTATTTAATTTTTTTTTTTTTTTTTTATAGGATTGAGCCCACTCTTTATTCCTAGCTTCACATTCTATACATAGTTCTTTTGAAAATCTAGGTCTCATTCATTTTTTTCCTGTTTAGGATTCATTTATCAGTTCCTTCTAAAGTGTTCTCATTCTCTCTTCGCTCCCACTAAAAAATTGCATCTTAGTGGCATTATCTGCAGGGGAAAAATTTTTAAAATAAAGTTTCTTGAAAAATATTGCATGGTTGTAACCATTCCAGAATTTCACACTTTTTATGATTCTAAGAACCATGAACATATTTGAGTCAATATCATTGTCATTCCATTTTAAAATTCCATATTGGAAAATGTCAGAAATTCAAAGAGTTTCTTATAAAGCACAGAACTGTATCCAAGTTGAAGAAAATAATATGAGATATTTGTTATATATTACAATGGAATCTTACTTCAAGGGAAAATATTCTTTATCCCATATAAAATATTCATGTAATGCAACCATTGCCCTGAATTTTGGTATGCAAATAAAATCAAAATAATTAGTAACATATTCATTTTGATTGGCAATTTAGGTAAATATTATGGGTGGGGCATTTTTTTTCCATCTTATTTCTATTGATTTTCCACTGTGGTTTTATTATAAACCTGTGAGGCAATAAAAAGATAGTACCTTGAATTTGCCAGTTCTTTTAAAACCACAGTTCAGATTTATATATTTATTTATTTATGTAAATCTTTTCCCAAACAAATACTTATTTTTTCCACAATGATCAAATTGTTAATTTTTTATTGTTTATAAATGAATTTTGAACATTGGGGATCATGAAAATCAATATGCATTTCAAAGAAATTGAACATTATATATATATATATAAATAACAATATTATATATGTCCAGTTTATTTAAAAATACAATTTCACAAGAAACCTGTTATATTCATTTGTGGATATGAATTTGTTACCCTCTGTAATTTGAACTTTTGCAATCATCATATTTTTTGTTGATCACAAAAGCATGAAACACAGTGAAACAAAAAGGGTCATATAAATTAAAATGAATAAATAAAAAAAAAAAAAAATAAAAAGGGTAGGCATATTTGTATAATTTTATGTAGTAAATCTACAAAAAAAGTGAAATCTTAAGAATTTTGGTGGATTATAATCAGATTAACCTTCATAATTTTCTATGGATTATGAGTCCATTGTATCTAGAAGGAAAATATAGTTACATCCTATTTTATTCAGGGTATAAATTCAGTATCAGCATGTCCTGATTGATAAAAACACACACACACACACAATGCAAATACACCAACATAAATTTGGAAAAGTTATGAATACTGCTTGGCATTTATATATATATATAAAATATATAGAGAATGTTGATTTTCAATCTGGTTTTTGAAAAAACTTTTTCGGTTGAAAATATGGATTTTTTTTTTTTTTCACTTTTGTCAAGAGTTTGTTAAATTTTTAGACCAATCTCTGTTTTTTGTCAAATTTGATATCATTTTAGATATTCATTTTTTTCCGGTTTTCCAAACATATTTAAATATTAAAATTTTAAAAAATTTATCATTTACTCAATAAAAGAGATAGAGCATTTTTAATATAGCCAGAATTTTTTTTTGAATCAACATTGCTTAATGACTTTAATTGTATAATTACCCTCACCATGCAATATTGATTATATGTCTACTTTCACAACATATAATATTGAAAAACTATATATATATACATATATATATATATATATATATATATATATATATATATATATATAGTGGACTCTCCCGTCGTATTCGATGTATGAGGGTCAAGCAGCTCAGTTCCTAGGAACCGACAGGCCAGACACCAGCACATATGATTTTGATTATAGTGGTAAAGGCTTTGTGCAGAACCAACCACACTTTTTGAAGGGCTGAATACAGAGACCTGGTGCACTACGTGCCACAAGGTCCCCAAATGACCCTCTGCAGGTTTTGAATTCAGAGTTGTCCTTCTCCTAGACCAGTTGCCATCAAGGCTATAGAACCCAGTCTGTCCTACTATTTACCCATAGCTGGGGGAGAAGAAGAGGATTAATACCTTTCCCAAGGGTATTAGCATGTAAGTGAATGTAATGGATTCAACTGGAATTTGAACTCAGTTTTTTTCGAATTGTTTCCTTATGTTTATTAATATTATAAACTTATTAATTCTACTCTATCATAAATACAGTAAATAAGTTAACTGTCAGTATCTTATTAGTGATCAATAACATTGTTGACTCTGTTCTGTGTGGATTTTTGACAAAGGAATATTGACTGGCTTGAATCTTAGCAAAATTTTAGGATTTTATACTGACTTTAAAAATTATGAAATTTATATATGACCTTTTTTTATTTGGTGTCTGTGTGAAAAGTATGTGAAATGATGATTATTAATATTTTATTTCTCTCTCTCTCTTCCCCTTCTGTTGTCTTGCCTTTCTCTCTCTTCCTTTAATTAGCAAATATTAATCACAGCAAAGAACAAAATGTAGACAAGGTGAGAATTTCAGAAGGGGGACAAAGTGAATATTATTGAATTTAAAATATGGAATTAGTTTTCTGATCACATTGCCTCTGTTTTTCTTTTCTCTTTCCTTTGTCTTGCATATATATCATCATTTTTTCCCAATGGGATATATATAATATCATTTCTCTATATATCTGCTTCCTTTGCAATTTGTAGAAATATCTTATAAAAATGATCATAAAAAAGAAACATTGTGTTTAAAATTTCATTTGATTTTTTTATTCCATTCTGTTGTTAACCTGCCAATTGAATTCCCCTTCTGTTTATATTGCCTTTATCTCTGTTCCCCTTATGTTGAAATTATTTCCTCTTTCCCCCCTTCTGTTGGGATTTTCTTTATAATCTGTTGTCTTGTTTTTTAAAAACTTATGTTGTCTTGGATTTCTCTCTCTTAAAAGTTGTTGTCTTTGTGGGATCAGATCTTAGTTCTCTGATATCTATTTTCACTTCAAATGAAATCTGTTGTTTTTGAAAGGGAAAAAATTTCTGTCTTTCCCCTTTTTCTTTTGTCTTGTCTCTCTAAAATTTTCTTCCCCAAAAAATCCCAAAACTAAAATTTGTTGTATTGCCTCTCTATTCCTTATATATATTTTTTATCTGCAAAATTCTACAGTCTTTTTCTCTTCTCTCTCCCCGGAATCTGTTTTTCTTTTCTTATTCTCTTTAATCTCCTTTGCCTTTTTGTTTTTCTTTTTTATTTTTCAATCTACAATCACTATATTTTTTCTTTCAGTTTTCCAATAATTTTAACCCACTGAAAATCATCTTTCCACTTCGGTTTTCCTCCCCATTTTTAAAATTCTTGCAAATTGTAGTTATACGTCAAATATTCAGCTCTGTTGTCAAGCAACCATTGTGGTCTGGTACATTTCTAATCTGCTGTCATTA